AGGCCACGGGCAATATGTGCTACACTTTTAATAAGCTAACATTGCCAGCGAATATTGAAGTAAAAGAAAAGTGAGAATTGATCACATTTCCTTTAATAAATCAATCTCATTTTTCAATTCATACAAAGACAAAGACACTACCAAGTGATACAGTCAACATGGGGCAGAAATGGATTGACTTTATGGTACATATTTTTTATTGCATAAATAAATAAATAATCCTGTGTACTAATATATATTGATCCGATGTTTACGCTATTTCCATGCCGAAGATCAATTATAATTAAATCTGTTCAATTATCTGAAACAGTTTATTGCTGTATAATTATAATTAATAGTAAATGCCTAGTCATGATACCAATTTATAGTTTTAATTAAGGGGTTATTATGGAAAGGGAAACTAAAGGAACAAATGAAGGCACATGCAAATGTCTTTAGTGAAAGCAATATGTACTGAGCAATGTTCAATTGAGGCTAAAAGCCTACAATTTTTACCATTTCTAAGTGGAATACATTGCTCAGTTATGCGGGTAACATTTTTTCAAATGTTTATATAACTTGCAAACGTTATATTTATGTCATAAAGCGTTAGCTTTAGAGAATTGAAGCATCTTCTTGTGGATGGACTTTTATTGATGCCCTCGTAAATGATGGCTTTCTTGATTTTTCTCATCATATTTTAATCGGGGTTTACTCTTTGTAGTTTTCAATTCTTGAATTTAGTCCAACTGTATATAAGAAAAAACATAACCAATACACATCAAAAAGCTGCAATCTAAATACCACACACATGTACATAGTACTAACTCAATTGTATTTGGAAATAAATCATCAATAAAAAAATCATCCAACTGAACACAAACGCAATATTCAAAATATATAATGTTAATCAATAATGGTAACTTCTAATATAAAAGATAATAAAAAAACATAATATTATATTATACTGAGAAAAATGGTTTTTTATTTAGTGGAAAATAGTAAAAAGTAATAGCTGTTTTCCAATCCATCTGGCATCTGGAGTGGTGTAGATTTCAACTCCCGTCGGGCTCAATCGCTTCACGAACACAAGTCTCACAGCAACTAATATTGTTTCTCTCTTTCTACGAGGTCAAACTTGTATAACAAAAAAAATAGAATAAAATAAAATATATATATTTGCATAAATACATAAATTTGCAAATCCAACCCCAAAGTTGTGCTAGTGGCAGACAAATGGCTCATCCCTTCACATGCAAACAAATTCGACATTTTTTACTCAGTTTGATAATTTTCCCTCCTTCACCAGTCCCTTTCTTTGTGGGAAAAAAAAAAAACTGAAACAGTCTGAAAATCCTATTGTACTAACAAAAAAAGATGTGGACCAATAAGGGNAATATACCCCACCAATCTCTTGTGAAACAAAAATATGCACTGTCTGCATGTGATCATTACATTACCAAGGTCCCATTTTACCATATGATCCTCTGACTTTGAATGGGTGGGATTTGTATTCAAATGCAAAGATGGTTTGGCATTTGGCATTAGAGATCTCATACAAATCATTTTATTCAACCCCATATAATATATATATAGATGACATTGACCTACATAGTCTATTTTTAATATAAATCTTTATATCAGAAAATTGCACTCTCTTAGTTTGGGCTCTCCTCTTGTCCTTGAGACTTGATTTTCTTGGACAGAGGCTGTGGTGATGAGGAAACTGAAGCTGCAGTTGGGCTAGAATCAAGTCCCCACAACTCATTTGAGGTATCATCACAGCTGAAAGACACATCTACCACTGCTTTTGGGCTCTCAGGCATTGATCCAAATTTTCTCTTCCTGCCTGTAACAAAGTCAACACTTGTGGCCACTTCTTGTACTATCATGCAGCAATCCTCTACCTTGTCCTGTTATTTTTCACATGAGTAAATCAAGATTCTAGCTAGGTACCAGGTTGTCTGGATGAAAGAGTTGATTTACAAGCACAAAGTTCAGATTTTTTTTTTTTTTTTTTTTTTTTTTTTTTTTTTTTTTTTTTTTGCTAACACAATTATCCCAAACTCCAGTTTATCATACACAATTGTAAGTATACCCCACCAAAAGTGTGCAAGATGAATAAAAATTTGTTTTTAGTGTCAGAAAATTGAAGAAGAATTAAGAAAGTAGACCTTGTTGATTCCAAGAATGCCCAGTAGTTGATCTTGATATTCCACAAAAACACAAGGCTCAAGGCTGCTAATGACATACACCATTATAGCAGTAGCTAATGCAGAAGGCAAATAGCACATGAATCTACAGTCTGCAAGAACAAAATATACACAAACCAGAACACAGTCACAAAAGGGCCATCAAGAAAACTGTAACTAAACAAATATGAATAAATAAATATTCACCAGAAATCACAGAAACAAGCAGGCACTCGCATCTCCTCAGAAACTCCTTGCGAAAATGGTCTTTGACTTTTAGGCTCCTCGCAATGTACTCAAGAAAGGAGAGTGGAGTAACAGGGTTCATCCTCCATTGAAGGGTAGAAAGAACCAAAATCTCCATTCTCTGAATCGTCTTAGGCTCAAACACGTACTTAGGATCCTCCACCTGTGGAAACAATCAACAGGTAAAAACATCTCAAACTCCCAATCTAACCACATTGTGAAAAAAAGTACAAAAACATAAAAAATAAAAAAATAAAACAAATCACGCATCAAGATTGGACTTTGATTGATCAAGATTGGATTTTTATTTATATGTTCTCATATTTCACATACTTGGAGGTCCAAAAGTAGAGGAACTTGAGTCTCCTCAACTTTAGCAGCAAGAGACAGGCAAGCCACAGCAGCTAGCTGAGTCACCCATGGCCTTTTCTCTCCGTGAAACTCAAACCCGCATAAAAACCTATCAAGATAGCTAACTGCAAGAACCGCAGTGAGGGCAGAGAAGGAATAGTGCCCAACGACCTTGAGCATCCACTCCACCCCCTCAACCCTGGCCTTCACCAGAAACGGATTTCCCTCAAAGCCACGTGGCGGTTCTTTTTCTTGCTCTTTGACGAGTAACAACCTCAACTCATCATCTTCCCAGAGGTCCTGCTCCAGAAACTCCACAATAAGGCTCTTCTTTTCACCTCGGCCTTTTATCAAGCAGTTGGTGTGCAAAACTGAATCTTCACTGTCCCATAGACAATGTTCTTCCACGCAGTACAAAGAGTTGAACGAGATTTGAGGGTCTTCCTGATGATGGGAGGCGGACATTTTTTTTATTCCTTTCTTTTTTTTTCTTACAGGCAGAAGAGGTTTTATC